TGAAATTGAATAGTCTATACATGAATGTTAGAGGGGGAAAAAGACATAAAACCAGAAAACATTAAATCTGGTACCATAAAATACATTCTCTTCTCAAGTTAAAATGTTTGTATCAATTAAATGATATTCTTTCATGATCAAAATGTCAAAAATATAATTCAAAAGTGGGGAAAATTAATACGAAGGTGTCTCAAGATAGCATTTTGAGTTAAACTGCCCCAACACCAAGAAAAATACAAAAAAAAAAAAGCCCCAAAACTAAATTTTTCTAGATTGGTTACACCTTAATACTTTTTATTGAAATGTAAGCAACTGTATTTTCCATTCTTTGAAAATTAATAAATCAAAATATTTTTCATCTTAAATTATCAATGAAGTCCTTTATTTAAAAAGCTACTACGGGAGGGTGGAGGAGGTAATTATTTGGTTTGTTTGTTTATTTGTTTGTTTTCCTGTTTGGGTGTTTATTTGGGCTTCTCTCAAAAAACATTTTTTTCCCTCTCAGCTAATTTTCAGATTCCAAAGCTCACAACATGTTAAATTAAACATCTTCTAGGAAGTGCACAGTCTGATTAGCACATTAACTCAGGCATAAACCAGCCGTGACCACTGCCTTCCAGTCTGGATGAGATCAGTCTGGAAAAGATAATGATGAAAAACCTACTGAAATATATTGATCCCAACATTATTTTATCCTCCAGCACTTAAGATCTTGAATTCTTATGTAATTTTTTAAACCTTAATTTTAGCCTTTATGTCCCAGAAATTCGGATATTCTAGTTCTGAGAATGAAATAATTTTATCTTCATTCTCAAAGGCTCCCACCTCCAAAAACTCAAAAGATGAGGCAGAATTCAGAGAGACTGTTATAGTTCCATGCCAATAATTTCAGTCCACGATTTCCCAGTCAGTCCTTTCTGGTGAAGGAGGAGTGATATCCTGCTGTCTTTTTTACTGGTTGGTTGGTTGGTTGGCTGGCTGGCTACTTGTTCCCTTTAAAACAAAATGATATGTACATATGGCTATGAAGGTAGGAATAGCTTCCCCACAGTCAATACTTGAACTCTCCAAAATGACAGCCACTAGCTACACCTGGGTATTGCGTATATGAAATGACGTCTAGAGTCACTTAAGAAAGAAATTTCTAGGTTTATTAATCTTATTAATTCAAATTTAAATTTCAAAGTTGACACTTACTTGTGTTACTGGGAAATCTTCCATGTTTGAAGCAACTTGGATATGTAAATCTCTTTTGTTCATCTATAAATTTTATGAAATCTAAACACAGATCAAGTATTTTTGATAAAAATTTAGTTGCTGAGTTGTATAAAATACATACTATATTTCAAAGAATTAGTAATAAAGATAATGTACAATATGTATATCTCATTAATAAATTTTAAATTCTAACTACATGTCAAAATTATACACTTTGGATATATTTGGGTTAAATATATTATTAAAATTAATGCCACTGGCCTCTTTTTACTTTTTTAATGTTCTACTGGAAAACTTTAAATTTTAAAACATATATGACTTGCATTATATTTCTGCTGGACAATCAAAAGTTAATACTAAGCAATGGTATAAGTATCTGAGATGGGCCAGTAAAGTCATTTGTAGAAGCCATGTGGTATGAGGACAAGACAAAGAGGCTAGACAGGACTGCATCCAAACCCTAGCTATGATCGTTCAAAGATTCTCAGGCTATATTTTCTTGTTTTCTTGTATGTAAAGGGAGAATAGTTGCCTACTTTAAACAAAATGTTTTTTAAATACCTGACATATCATAGGTATAAATAAACAGTTGAACAAAGAGTTGTTCTTCAATAGAAAAAAGGTTTCAAGCAATTACTATGAATTAACTGCTTCTGATTTGTGTCTTCTTACAAATTGGCCATAATCTGTGGACATCCTGCACAACCTTGTTATTACCTTACATTTTATAGATCAGCGGTTCTCAACCTGTGGGTTTCGACCCACAGGAACTCTATTAAAGGGCCACAGCATTAGGAAGGTTGAAAACCACTGTTATAGATGAATGACGGTAATACTCAATGCTGTAATCAAACTATTCAGCAAATGAAAGTATTGTTTCTATCTGCATTTTAAATGGTATAATGAAATGCATTTCTAGTAAGATCATCATGATTTTTATACACCAAAATTCACCTAAGAGACTTACAATGTCAGAATATTTATGTCCTCTTCAATATTTCTGCATACCTATCATGGTGGGACTTAGTATTCGATAAGTTCTAAGACAAACTGCTCCAAAGCACTGAGTTAATAAAATACAGCTTTAAAGATGTAAAATATGGGCACTTATAATATTTATTTAAAAATTAATTCTGTCTCATTGTTATACTCTATTTTCTCTGTAATTTGATAAGTGCCTGCTAATTGTTATTCTATAAAACAATACCACAATCATCATAAGATTAGAAAACATAAACCTAGGACAAATAAAATTAAACATTGCTTCATAAAGTAAATGGTAAAACTATACAAGGAGTTGCTTTTTTGCTAAAAAGGAAAATACAAGCTGGAACTACTATATATTCCTAAATGGTTTAGATAAATTAATGACTAATAAAATTCCTAATGGGAAACTACAGGAAGCAAGAAGTTTGGAAGTCACATTTCATCTTTCAGCATGATGCCAAGATTTTTTTTTCCAGAATGACTCTTGGCAAAATGCTGAATAATGACTAGATGAATTAAAAATTAACTCACTGTAATTATTATTATGTTTCCCTGTAATCTAATGGATAATAATCTCTCTCCTTTTCTTTAATCTGCCTCTTGGCCTCTTTGCTCCTCCTCTTCCATTGGGTCCCTGTATAATTTTTTTCTTCATTGGTTTGATCAATATTTATTGAGACTCTATTATGTGCCAGCAGTCATTGAACTTCACTGGTCTGTTATATCATTCAATCAAAATACTGAAGCTGGTGATAGGTTGAACATGTGTCTAAATATTTTTCAAATTTGTTGGGTTATATGTGTGTGTAATCTTATCACCAAAATAAACATTAAGTTCAGTTACACAGCATCCAATTTCATAAAAATTAAGATGTTAGTGTCAACATAATTTTTTTAATAAAATGTCATTTTCACTTATACAGTGTCACAGAGCTAAAATTCAAAGGTCAGTTATGATTTTCCAAGTTATTGCAATAAATTTCCAAACCTTAGATTTTATGTTAACACAAATACCTCCTTTTCCAGAGCACATTTTACCACTACAACTCTCAAGAGTTTTCTCCAAGAGTTTCATCAAGTTATGCAATAGATCCAAGTTTCCACTGAAAAACCTCTTGTTCATTAATTCACACCTCTGAGTAAATTTTTAGGAAACAAAATAAAAATGACTTCAGTTGATCTTGTGTGTTTATTAGAGAAAAATTTTTCTTAACTCATTCTTTGAATCATAGTTAATTACTTGTTGGTTTTTCCTTAAGGACTAGAAGTCAAGTAGGAAGTCTCACTCTTTGTGTGCCCATTTGAAAAACACAGGTTTCAAAACAGTATCTGGATGGTTGGACAGATTAAAAATAAAAAAGAAAGAAATGTTCATATTAAGAGTTACCAATAAAACGAGGTTAGTCTTTGAGACTATTTTCCTCAACTCACTGACTAAAACATATCAGGCATTAAGTTTCTAAAATGTCAATTATGTGACCAAGAGATTATGAAAAATAGTACTGTCAGTTCAGCACCTGTACCACAGTGGTTATGACGCTGGCCACATACACTGAGGGTAGCAGGTTCAAACCCGGCCTGGGCTAGCTAAACAACAATGACAACTGCAACAAAAAATAGCCATGCATTGTGGTGGACGCCTGTACTCCAAGCCACTTGGGAGGCTGAGGCAAGAGAATCACCTAAGCCCAAGAGTTTGAGGTTGCTGTGAGCTGTGATGCCATGGCACCCTACTGAGGTTGACATAGTTAGACTCTGTCTCCAAATTAAAAAAAAAAAGAAAGAAAAATAGTACTACACTGTAAAAATAAAATATACTTTAATCCAGCCACAATTTAATGCAGGCCTACTCTGTGCCAGTCACTGCTCTACACTCTGAGGTCTAAAGATAAACAAGTGCTATACATGTAAAGAGTGAAAGGGAGGGCATATCCCAATGAATTTTTCTGAATTAATCATAATTTTTTAAAAGTCACTAAACTATGACAATAAATGGATCTCCTCCTTAAAATGTGTTCTCTTCCTCAATAAGAAAGGATGATAAACTTGCTTTTTGAGGCGCACTAGGTTTTGCAGTGTTTTATACTTTTTGTTTGCTGCTTAGAAATGCAATCTCCTTATATAAAGATGCCCTCAAGATACTTCCTTCTTGCGAAGGAGTCAAGTAGAAAGAGGGTGCACAGGAAGAATGAGAACAGAGTCATCACAGAATAGAGAGATGAAAAATATCAACATGAAGTAAATCAGAACAAAGTTTTGCATGGTACCATTCTTACATTAGACTAGAACAGTGGAACCATAATCAACCACTAATGCCAGGCCGGAGGCTGAAAACTGCCCCAAAATGAATAATCCCATTAGACACACATTTTATATGCGTTGTCTGTAAAAGCAAGCTGTGCAGAAATCCTCCGGATAAGCTCATGATCAGGGTAAAAGTCCTGATAAGTGAAAACTAAAAGCCTGTCACTGGTTGGTCGTCCTGGTGAAGCAGAGCATTCCAAGCACTTTGCAGCTGGCAATAAGTAGCAACTTTTTTTTAAGGCACTTATAGTCTGACAGGTTGATTCATTTTACTTTAGTAGGTATTACCTTTGGTTCTTAAGAGAGTCAGTATTTTTAACCTGGACGACTGTAAATAATAAATTTTTTAAAATGTGCCCATGTTAGAGAACAATAACAGTTTCTAAAGCGAACAACAGATGTTTCTTTAATGAACGGAAGAAGTGACCAAGCCCTGTAGCAATGACTGCCAGGACTAAACCCATCCACCAGATCACCCAAGTTCCACTTACCCCCAACATCTGGTGGAGGTAGTGGTATTCTGGCCCTTGGTTATACAGCAAGAAGGTTTTCCAGAAAAGTAGGACATTCAGGGTAAGCCAAACGAGCTAAACCAATCAGAGAGAAGAAACAAAAATTGAAAACAACCATTACCTGATGAATTGAAAACACAAGTAAATTCCCTTGATACAGTGCTTACAATGGAACTTGAATTAGTAACTGCATAAAGCATTTTCAATTAGCCCGTAAGCTGAAAACCATTCAGAGGAAAACAAATCTGACTTTACCCAGACCCTTCACCTGAGACTTCAGGTTACAAATAGGTCTCCTAATTGATCTCAGATATCCCTTACAGCATAAAATGTGATTAAGAAATTAATGACATCACCATATCCCAAGCAAACAAAGGCAATTTGGGAAAAGAGCAAAGGAGGAGAAAAAAAAAGGAAAAAGGTTAAGAAAAAGTTCTGTTCACGCAAAGTGAACTTCTCTTCCTCCACATCTATTCTTCCATCAGTGTGTAGGAAAATTTCCAAGCCTTGGGGGGAGTGGGAGTAGGGAATAATAATTATCGTCTCCAGCGTAAAGTTTTGTTAGTTGAGAACGTTCACATTAAGAGAGAAAACTTCCACTTCCAGGTTCCCACCCGCGCAAGCTCGCAGAATGAATCAAAAGCACTGCGGCAGAGACAAAACCCGCGGGGAGCCGAGCCCGCCATCCTACCAGGCAGAGGTGTTTAACCCCTTCGTTGGCGAGCCAGCTCCTCCAGGACACAGCCATGTCGCCGGCCGGCTCGGAAAGGAGCGGGCAGCGGCCGGGGCAGCGGTTACAGTGGTGCAGCTGCGGGGGGGCGGGAGGCCAGATGGGGACAGAGGGTCAAAGACTGAGCGGCAGCCCGCGGCCCGGCGCGGAGCCAGCCCCGGGAGGTCTGCGCCCGGGATCCGGGTCTTCCGGACGCCCCGACTCCGACCCGCGCAGCGGCCGCTCTGCCCACCGCGCCGCTCCGGCCCCGCGCTGCCGGCGCGCTCTGCCGCCCGGGCTGCCCCGGTCCGCGCCGCCGCGCCGGCCCCTTTGTCTGGTCCAGCCTGTTGTGGCTGCTGCTGTTCAGGATGTCCCGGGTGGGAAGCCGGAGACGACTCGGCAGTCTCGAGCCCCGCCTGCCCGGCTCCGAAATGCCGACAAACACGTGAAGAATGAGACCACAGCTGGGACCCGCGCCGCCCCCTCGCACACGCGCGCGCGCACACACGCACGCAGACACACTCCGGATTCCTTGGGGCTGTTTTCCGCAAAAAAAAGTTCAACTCAAAGAGCCTTGGCAATGAAATTTGATCCGGAAATAGTCTTTTGTGTACACGCGTCCCCCGTCTCCCGCCCATCCTCAGCAACTTCTCACACTTTCCAACACGAGTCTCCTCCAACCCCTCACCTAAAGCTTCCCACTACCTCCTCCTTCCTTACCCTCTTCCCCACCCCATCCCAAATTGATGTAAAGATTTTAAGAGAATGCTAAATAAAAAGTGTCCCAGGGGTTAATGGTTAAAGCTGACGTAATTCTCAGGGGCTTCAGGAAAGCTCAGACTCACTCTGTTTAGGAATTCTCCTTTTTTTTTTTTTTTTTGGTGGGGGGGTGGTTCTGTTTTAATAACAGGAATCTTTTCAAACGTGTTCCAGAGACCTAGTGAAGGGTGAGAAAGGTGTGAAATTGATACAGGTTATGTATCATACACTGGGACATATCAGTATTAGAGAATAAATAGAGAGAGAGAGAGAGAGGAGAATATTTGATGCAAAACAGATATTCAATAAAAGTTTGTAAAACCAAAAACTCCCAAATTTAACTACTGACAAATGGAAGAAAAAGTTGACCACTAGTGATGTAATCTCACGGCTTTCAAGATCCTTTTTTAACTACATTTTACAATATACGACATAAGATATACTTAAAACTATAGCGTTTTAAAAAAAAATACTACCTTACTCCATGCAATATACTTATTCCAATCAATCTGATGAATCAATTAATGATTTCAAACCTCAGTTGAAAACACTATAATAAATCTATATCAAGTCCCACTTGGATTTTTACACTTTTTTTCTAAGACTATTATTTCTTTCTCATATATGATTTTTCTGTTTCATATCTCTAAAAAAAAAGAAAGAAAATCTTAAACCTCATGGCCCCCCGAATGGACTACCTCTTGGCCAACAGGACCCCAGAAGTACCCCAAAGCTGGTTCTTAGCCATGACAAGAAAAGTCAGATGTACATAAGTCAACATAAACTTTACAAAAGTATCTGAATTCTATCATTTTACAAAAGTACCTTCTTTGGTGTTGTTTAAACCTTAAGCAAATCCTGTTTTCCCACATCAGGGAAGGTTCTGAATATCTTTGTAGCTTCAGTTTCCTCATTTTTAAAGTCGGGGCACTAAAATTCATATGGAGGGCTACTGTGAGGTTTAAGTGAGATTTTGTAAAGCACCCATGGCAGTGCCTGACACTTAGTAGGTACATATTAAGAGTTGGAACTTTATTTTTATCTTTTGTCTTTTTGTCTTGTTGTTGTTGTAGAAGTAGTTGAGCTTTTTAAAATTGTCTTTTATTCTACTAATCTTCATTTGCCTCACTCTTCTCAACTCATGACAAGAGCCTAACTATTCTGCCAAGGAGCACCTTCTCCTCCAATCTATTGATTGACCATGGCATTGTAGCTTATTAACAGGCCTAAGTCTATGCAAGACAAAGCTTAAACCACACCTGCAGGTATACACTATATGGGGTGGCTTGTGTCTGATTAACAAACTTCTTTATCTTAAAACATTCCAAGCCTTTAGACAAAGCTTCATCCCTTGAATTAATTATAATTCAGAGAATCTTTAAAGTTACCTATAATCCTCTACTTTGAGATGCCTTGCCTTTTGGGGCCAAACCAATATAAACCTTGTATGTATTGATTTATGACTATGGGCAATTCCTATCTCCCTGAAATGTATAAAACTAAATTGTAATCGAACCACAGGGAGACTGCAAGGCTCTCCTGGACATGGTTGCACATACTCAGAGCTCAGAATAAACTTGTTTAAATTATTTTACAGAGTTTGGGTTCTTTTCTATTGACACATGCATGACCAAATCCAGAAAACTGCCCTAATTCACAGTGGAATTAGGAAGCATATTACTTATAACTACTATTAGGTTCTTACTGACCATGGTATACCTAGAGGAGCAGGAAAAGAGGACAAAAAGAATCCAAAGAGCATCTCTACTAGAGGGAAGTCCAGTTCTGGGATGCATTGGTGCTCCTTCCTAGAGAGCTTTAATTTCAATAGATTGGAGAAGGTGTTCATTGGCAGAATAGTTAGGCTCTTGTCATGAGTTGAGAAGAGTGAGGCAAATGAAGATTAGTAGAATAAAAGACAATTTTTAAAAAGCTCAACTACTTCCAGAACAACAAAGACAAACAGACAAAAAAAATAAAGTTCCAACTCTTAATATGTACCTACTAAGTGTCAGGCACTGTCCTGGGTGCTTCATTTACAAAATCTCACTTAATTCTCACAGTAGCCCTCCATATGAATGTTAGTGCCCTGACTTCAAAAATGAAGAAACTGAAGCTAAAAAGAGATTCAGAACCTTTCCAGACGTGGGGAAACAGGATTTGCTTAAGGTTCAAACAAGCCCAAAGCAGGAACTTTTGTAAAATGATAGAATGCTTTACAAATGTTGGTTATTTTATCTATCATTTTTATTTCAAAGCTCCGTGAAAGAGGTCTTGGATCTTCTTGTTTATGTTGATTTACAAGGAAAGGGTATGACAACCCATTGGCTAAGGGACAGAGCTATTGTTCTGTTCAGCAGGAACTCTCCTTAATGAGATTCTTCATAATATAATTTTCTGTAGGCCAAAGTGTTTAATGCAAGTGGGTTACTGTTTTCACAAGCTAAGAAAGGCTTCCCCTGAAAATAATGAGGTGAGAATTCTGCAGTTATATCAATATTCCAAATATCATAATAAAAGTCACACTTTGCCAGGACAAGACTTCACAAGTAGTGAAGATTTCACAAGAAAAACTCAAATGACAAAGCCTTTTTAATAAGCTGAAATAATGGCAAGCTACTGGTCTAACATTGATCATCTTATGCTAATTATAAGCTCTGGCAGTTAGACATGTTCTTGACCTATTATTTCTTGCTTAATAAACACAGAAGTTTCTTTGTAGAAAGTATCCTTGGAAATCTGAAATGCATTGGGGAAATCTGATAGAGGTTATCTTTTCAGCCTACCTTGTTATTACACAACTATATGTCTCAGCTCAGGATCACTTGAAGTTTTTCTTAACCCACTTTGCCTCAATACACACCTACTCATCCTGGAAGTGTACACTCTTCAGTGTGTTCCTAATACTCTGTGCACAGGATTGCGACTATATGTTCTACATATTAATTTAACTATATGTATGTGTGTGTGTAATCTTCCCAATAAACTGGACTTCCTAAGAACAAACACTCTGTCTTACTTAGTTTTTATTCCAGTACTTTGCACAAAGTTTGCCAATTAATAGGAAATTTACACAATTTTTATCAAATGAATGAATAGTGGTTTAGTATATCACCCTTCTTTCTGTGTCTTTCTCAAACATCAGTTTCTCACAGATAATTTATCAGTCACATAGGAATAATTTCTACTCAGCTTGATAATCTATTACCAGAAAAAGATGAACCTCTGGATCTGGCTGCCATCCCACAGGTCAAATGATAAGTATTTGAAGTTGAATTAACAAATTACTATAGATTCCATGACTTAAAATAACAGAATCCTTACAATTCTGAAGGTCAGAAGTCTGAAATCAGTGTTATTGGTTCAAAATCAAGATGTTGACAGGACCAAAGTCCTTTGCAAGGTGCTGAGGGTGAATCTGTTTCTTGCCTCGTCCAGATGCTGATGGCTGCCGGCATTCCTTTTTTTGTGGCTGCTGGCATTCCTTTTTTTGTGGCTGCTTCACTCTCACCTCTGCCTCCATGGTCACATTGCCTTCCCCTCCTCTGCCTGTGTGTGTCAAATAAACCTGAATCTCTTTCTTGTGAGGACACTTGTGATTATATTTAGGGCTCACCTGCATAATCTGGGATAATATCCCCATGTCAGGATCCTTAATTTAATCATGTCTACAAAATTCCTTGTTCCTTATAAAAATAACATTTACATGTTCCTAGAATTGAGACCTCTTTTTTTTTGAGGGGGAGGGGATTGTCATTCAGCCTTGAACAGCAACTAAAGTCTCTGATTGGATATGCAAGCCTTACAGTAGAACTTGTGAAGAAATCCACCTCAAGGAATCAAGGTTTGAGACTCCTAATTAGCATTTCTGTCAAGAAGTCAAAAATTGTAGACCAGGAAATGTGACTGATAGAACAAGGTACAATTTCTTTACCTTCTTAACGTGATAGAATTTATATTTTTGTTATCCCATGCCTGATTACCACAAAGATTAGTATTAAAACTCAAAATGAAAAGAGCCTGTGTGTGTTTTTTAGGAACAGGGAAGAACTAGGAAAACTCTATCCCAGTATGCAGCATAAATTGGTAGAGTGGATGAGAGAATCCTAAAGGTTTGAGTAATTGACAGGGACATTAAAGACAAACGGAAACTACACGGTGTCCCTGAGGCCCATGGCAAGGAGAAAGGGCCCACCAGGGAACCAAAGAGAGGTGGTCCAAAGGCTTCACATTCATAAGTCCGAGGACAAGTTCCAGACAGTGAGTCATTCTCATGTCTA